TTGTCTCTGAGCCTCCCTTCTTATCTGTGCATATTCGTTTCTGGCTCTTCGGCTGATTTCTTTATTTTCCTGAGTTCTCTGTCTTCTGTACCTTTTCCATTTTCTAGTACACCTAGTTTTTGCCTCCCTACACCTTTGGGTGAACCAAGGACTCGTTCTGTTCTTCCCATTATTTCTGTTTCCCTTGTGTGTGTGTGTGTGTGTGTGTGTGTGTGTGTGTGTGTGTGTGTGTGTGTGTGTGTGTGTGTGTGTGTCTGTGTGTGTTTGTGTGTGTGTGTGTGTGTGTGTGTGTGTGTGTGTGTGTGTGTGTGTTGTGTGTGTGTGTGTGTGTGTGTGTGTGTGTGTCTGTGTGTGTTTGTGTGTGTACTCACCCAGTTATGGTTCCAGGGTCGAGTCACAGGTCCTGGCCCAGCCTTTACGCTGGCCGATACTAAGTCACTCTTCTCGCTCCATTCCTCTTCTTAAAACAATGTATGGATCTTACCTCTTCTTAAAATAATGTATGGATCCTGCTTCCACTACACCACATCTTAGACTATTCCACTTTCTGACAACTCTGTGACTGAAGAAATACTTCCTAATATCCCTGTGATTCATCTGAGTCTTCAACTTCCAACTGTAACCCCTTGTTGCTGTGTCTCATCTCTGGAACATCCTGTCTCTTTCCACCTTGTCGATTCCTCTTAGTATTTTATATGCCGTTATCATATCCCCCCTATATCTCCTGTTCTCCAGCGTCGTCATGTAGATTTCCCTTAATTAACCTCTCCTCGTAGGACATACCTCTTAGCTCTGGGACTAGTCTTGTTGCAAACGTTTGCACTTTCTCTACTTTCCTTACGTGCTTGGCTAGGTGTGGGTTCCAAACTGGTGCCGCATACTCCAATATGGGCTTAACGTATACGGTGTACAGGGTCCTGAACGATTCATTATTAAGATGTAGGAATGCTGTTCTGAAGTTTACTAGGCGCCCATGTGCTGCAGCCGTTATTTGGTTGATGTGCGCTTCAGGAGATGTGCCTGGTGTTATACTCACCCCAAGATCCTTTTCTTTGAGTGAGGTTTGTAGTCTCTGCATCCCCTTAAACTGTACTCCATCTGCGGTCTTCTTTGCTCTTCCCCAGTCTTCATGACTTTGCACCTGGTGGGGTTGAACTCCAGAAGGCAGTTGCTGGACCAGGCCTGCAGTCTGTCCAGATCCCTTTCTTGTTCTGCCTGGTCCTCGTCTGATTGAATTTTTCTCATCAGCTTTACATCTTCTGCAAACAGGGACACTTCTGAGTCTATTCCTTCTGTCATGTCTTTCACAAATACCAGGAACAGTACCGGTCCTGGGACTGACCCTTGTAGAACCCCGATCATCACAGGCGCCCACTCTGACACCTCGCCACGTACCATGGCTCGCTGTTGTCTTCCTGACAGGTATTCCTTGATCCATTGCAGTGCCTTCCCTGTTATCCCTGCCTGGTCCTCCAGCTGTTGCACTAATCTCTTGTGTGGGACGTTGGCGAAAGCCTTTTTACAGTCCAAGAAAACACAGTCAACCTATCCCTCATTCTCTTGTCTTGCTGCTGTCACCTTGTCATAGAACTCCAGTGGGTCTGTGACAAAGGATTTCCCATTCCTAAAACAGTGCTGGCTGTCAATGATAAGCTCATTCCTTTCTAGGTGCTCCACCACTCTTCTCCTGATAATCTTCTCCATGACTATGCATATTATACATATCAGTGACATTGGTCTGTAGTTTAATGCTTCGTCTCTGTCTCCTTTTAAAAAATTGGGACTACATTTGCTGCTTTCCATACCTCAGGTAGTCGCTCTGTTTTGATAGATGTGTTGAAAATTGTTGTTAGTGGTACACAGAGGGCCTCTGCTTCCTCTCAGGACGCATGGAGAGATGTTATCCAGTCTTATTGCCTTCGAGGTATCTAGCTCGCTTAGCAGCCTTTTCACTTCTTCCTCGTTTGTATGAATTGTGTCCAATACTTGATGGTGTGCCCCACCTCTCCATCTTTCAGGAGTCCCTTCTGTCTCATCTGTGAACACTACTCTGAATCTCATGTTGAGTTCCTCATATACTTCACTGTCGTTTTTGTAATCTCCCTTTCTTCCCTTTTTTGCCTGACTACCTGGTCCTTGACTGTTATTTTCCTCCTGATGTGGCTGTACAACAGCTTTGGGTCAGATTTGGCTTTCACTGCTATGTCATTGTCGTATTGTCGTTGGGTCTCCCTTCTTACCTGTGCATATTCATTTCTGGCTCTACGGCTTCTCTCCTGGGTCCTTTGCCTTCTACACTTCTTCCATTCCCTAGTACACTTGTTTGCGGCCTCTCTATACCTTTGGGTGAACCAAGGGCTCATCCTCGCTTTCTTGTTATTTCTGTTACCCTTGGGTAACAGAAATAACGATATGCTTCCTTGCATATCTTTGTCACATATTTCATCGTCTGGTTTACTGACTTCCCTGCCACTGAACCCAGTGCAGGAAATTCTTCATGCCTGTGTAGTCCCTCTCTTGTAATATGGCTTCATTCGTCCTGTGTGTGTGTGTACTTGCCTGTAAGTGCTTGCATGTTCATATGTGTAAGTACTTGTGTGCACATGTGTATGTGTGTGTGCAGTGTGTTTGTGTGCATGTGTGTGTACTCACCTAATTGTGGTTGCAGGGGTCGAGACTCAGCTCCTGGCCCCGCCTCTTCACCGACCGCTACTAGGTCCTCTCTCCCCCTGCTCCATGAGCTTTATCATACCTCGTCTTAAAACTATGTATAGTTCCTGCCTCCACTACATCGCTTGCCAGAATATTCCACTTCCTAACTACTCTATGACTGAAGAAATACTTCCTAACATCCCTTTGACTCATCTGAGTCCTCAGCTTCCAATTGTGACCCTTTTGTTCCTGTGTCCCACCTCTGGAGCATCCTGTCTCTGTCCACCTTGTCTATTGCAAGCAGTATTTTGTATGTCGTTGTCATGTCTCCCCTGAGAGGGTCCTCCAGTGTTGTGAGACCGATTTTCCTTAACCTTTCTTAATAGGACATTTCCCTTAGCTCTGGAACTAGCCTTGTTGCAAACCTTTGCACTTTCTCTAATTTCTTGCCGTGTTTGACCAGGGGTGGGTTCCAAACTGGTGCTGCATACTCCAGTATGGGCCGAGTAC